AATGGAAGTGAACCGTTTCTGCGCAAAATCAACATGCACCCTGAGCATGAACATCTAAGGTTCCCGTGCGAGCCTCAGCAACGGTTGGCGGGTTGTTCCGTTGCCACCAGCTGCCCGAACTCGAACCCGGATTCTACTGCACACGTTCCCAATTACAGTGCGCGAGACGAACCCCCTACCGGCCCACCCTGAGCAAGATGGGTTTTCAGGTACAACATGATGATGGCCATTCACAGCCGGCGCGGCGACATGGAGGCCGCTGAAGAAGTCTTGGCTCGCCAGCTGCACAAGTGGCAGACGGGGTGCATGAAACCTTGGGCCTTAAGCCACACAGATCAAACTTAAACTGCCGGCGGCCAGCAGTAGAGAGAGAGAGAGAGGTTTGACTCTGAAAGCCTGCACTTCCGGCCGCACCGAAATCCCGTTGGCCGAGGAAGAGATGACAGAAGCCGGCTGGCCGGCAGACGTGTGTTTCGGATTGAAAGATAGATGGCCATGCAGGTGGAACAGTGGAACATGCTTCCGAGTTGCAGCGTTTGGGATCGAGTCAAGTCTGGAAGGGCTCAGGAATTTCGTCCATGCACTTTTCCTCGACACCGCTAGAGGCAGTTCAGCAGAATCTGTCATGACTGCTGTCGGACCGAGGACGACCTACCAAATCCTTGTACAAGGCTATGTCGTTGCTCGGCGCAGGGTGTGGAGGTTTAGGGAGCTGTCCAAGATTCTGCCGAGCTCTGGCTTGCCCTTTTCCCTGGATAGCTGGCAACCCTTGCGACATGAAATAACATCAGTATCATAGATAAGGTCCTAAGTTTCGTTTGTAGCTCTTGGGATACAACAGTCTACCGTCTATCCCCAGCGGAAACCCGCTTCCCGGATCTCGCGAGACGGAAAGGCAACGCTCACAAGCAAAACAAACGATGAACTTGGTCCGATCACGGCCGCGGTTCCATTTTGTGCATGCGCATGCCTTGCCAAGCTGAGCCGAGAAACATGTGCTTCTGCAAAGATGTGCCATGAAACTAGGCTGCTTGCGACTGGCCTGCAGCACTGGCGCTGGAAGAAAAGGCTGGGTTGTGAGCTTGAACATCTCGGGGATCAGAACTCCAGAGACCTCCCGAAAGACAGAGCCCACTTGCTGCTTTTTTTATTGGAACATCATGTCCCCGATGCGGTTTCGCTTCACTTGTCTCGCTTCGAAGGTCGCTGATCTGCGGCGTGGCCTCGTTCGAATACGGGAGGTGCGGGTGTAGCCTGGTAGAACCTATCGGACGTCCTACCCCGTAACAGGCACCGATTGCAGCAAGAGCATGCACGAAATCTCTTTTGACAAAACTGCTCCTGCAGGATCCCGGCGTTACCCAGGCTGCAACTCGCCAGAGAGTTCTTGCGCAGCCAACACAGTAGTACCAGGTCCATAGAGGGACACTGTCCAACATCGGCACTGGCCTTGTGAGCATTCGTCTTCACGGCACGCATTCGGCAGAGGGCCACATGGCTTTTGCACGCCGTAGGGTTGATTCCGTGCTGTGACCTAGCTGGCATAGCGGTTCGGGCAGTTGGCAAGTGGCAACATACGATGTTCGGAGAGGCGATAGATAGAAGAAAATCGAACTTTAGCCGCCCACGGCGAACTCTCATTCAAATCTTGCACAAACCCTGAGAAGGGCTGGGCGAGTGAACCGAAGCCACGACCCTGGCGCCTGGCGCGCCAGTTTGAGGGTTGCGAAGCTCAGGCCCAAGAGGCTGCCAATGGGCAGCTGCAGCAGAAGCGGGTGTGGACAAAGGCCAGGAAGGGGAGAACGGCAGCATGTGGTTCATGGACAGGCTTCAGATTCACGCACTTTCCCCGTAATTCGTCCAGTTAATTTGCTGAAGTCTGAAGCCTTGAAAATGGCAGCCAGAAGTGGCTCGTGAAGGTATACCACCTCCTTGTGGATGCTGCCGTGTACAATGCCGATGCTCGCGCGAATTCATGAACGAGTTGAAATTTGGAAAGTGACTGCACGGGTCAGCGCTCCACCCCACAACTTGCGGGTAGATCCCTGGGGGGTGGACAACCGTTGGTCTTCTGTGCTGAAAATGCACTTAGATTCTGAGATCTTTGGGCTCCAAAGAAGATCACTCAGTCCAGCAGCCAAAAATTCGGATCGTTGTCTTTCGACGAGATGCCCCAGCCTGCAACTGGGCGGGCACCCTTCGAGTCCCTAGGAATGGCCTCGCGCGGTGCAAATCATCGAGGAGCTCGTCGGCTATGGATTGACTCCTGGATGCAGCCGGACGTGCCCGAATCCTGTAAGCTTTCACGGCAGACGCCCGACATCTTTGAATCCACGAAGCCATCCACCCTGAACCACAGCCTGTTGAGCGTTGGCGATGTGGTCAGGTCATCTTGTATGTAGCCTCAGAGTGCATCTATCTACCTGTCCATTTGTCCATCCATCCGTCGGCATCTACATGTGTGAAGCATACCAACCATCGAGAGCTGAAACTGCAGTTGCGGTTTCGAACATCGACCTATTAAATCTGGCTTCAGCCACTTACCAAACACACTATAAAGCATGTAAGCTCATGCATGGCCGGTACCAAAGCCCTCAGAAAGGCCTGTGAACTATGCGAAGCATGCCCGTGCCCTCGCAGCACCATCTTGTTGTGGAGAGTCGGGACAGCTGGGAGTTGGAGAGTTCGTGGGCTCAGGGTGGTCTTCGGGATCATTGGAGATTTATTTGCCATGAGGAGCAACGGTTTACCTTCAGTCACGCTTGCATGCCTTGGGCCATAAACGGAACACTTCTACATGAGGTGGTTGATGTTTTGAGAATGACTAAGACTGACGGTTAGTCCCCAATTTTCGAGACGATGGGATGAATGTCTCGACTTGCGTTGCGCGACGCATCGCGTCTGCCTTTGCACTAGGTGGCTCCATATCCGGAAAAGTAGATTCGACCCACAGCAGCACGGTCCGCAATTGCAGCTCTCTGGCCATCTCTTTACAAAAGCCTCTCTCGGTTTTGGCGGTTATGTCTTCATTCTCTGGCATAGTCCTGGACCTGAAGCCGAGGCCTCTTGGAAGACACCTTGCCCTCCACCAGAGCTGGACTTGCAATGAAAGGCACGGCGGGTGGGGGGGGGGCACCGGCAAGAAAAGTTAGAGCTTGGGAACTGTGCACCCATCAATGACTGCAGGCTCCGTTTCACAAGAGCCTTTGCAGGTCGCGGTAGAAGTGTTCGGAGGACATGTAGGTTTTGCTGCAGAGCCCCGGGTATATCCGCTCTTCCAATACGTGACGGGCATGTATAATTATACTTCTGCATGAAACAGTCACTCCGGTATGTTTGCATGCTCTAGCAGTGACCGAAGCCGAAGCAGAGGCGTCTACAGTCGTGGCACGAACATGGACTGGGCAACTGCAGATGAGCGGCAGAAGGTCTGGAGACGACCTGTTTTGGCGTGAACTTGGGAGGTCTTTGGGCCGGGGCTCACAAGGTTTAAAGTTTAAAGGCGGGCTGCGGTTGATTCAGCCCAAAGCCGGCGATTGATGGCTCGTGATTCGTGGCATTTCGTTGAAACTTGGCACTATGCCTCAACTCGCATTCGCATTGCAGTCAAGACGGATCTGACTATCTGTTTCGTGGGTCTACTTGGTGGTCAATGGCACGGTGTCCTTGTACTTGCATTCCTGCGTCAAAGTGTTTCGGACTAGTACGTGCCCACGAGAATGTCTACCAATTGATTTGTCTCTGTTGAGTCTGTTCGTGATTATTATTGATGGAGTCCCAGGATGCAGATCCTCGTAGTATCGGTACCGGAAGTGAGGGGAAGCATCTCACCGGTACGTTCTGTTCCGCTGCCGCTATGCTTGTCAGGGGTGGGAATGACTCTGAAACTGGAAGTTTCGGGATAAGGCGAGTTCAGGTTGCAGAGAAGGGTTGAGGCTTTGTTTCACAGGCTTCGTGCCAACTAACCCACAACCTCGCACGGAACTCATTCCTACAGTTGTGAAGCTGCCGACACGGGACCAAATGAGCCCAGTGCTAGCCACACGTCCACATCCAGCCACGGTGACCAAACCGTAACCCTAAGCCCTAAAACCCCTCCTGTGCTTGTAGCAGCCGGGCCTCGCGTCGCCGTCCGGCTATGGACGCCCGTGCCACGGAGCTGTGGGCTCATGCGCTGGCGATTATCGCAAAGCTGGAAGCTGCCATCAAACAGTCACGGCCTCGGGGGTTGTAGCTGTGCAGCGCCCAGATTAACCTTGTTTGGAGTCCTGTTCCAGCCTTGAGGAACTCGGCTTCCGCTCGGGAGGACTGGCAAAGCTACTTTTGAGGATCTCTAGATCTCAAAGATTTTCGTACGGTGCAGGGCAAGCCGATGCCCGAAAGCTTTCACGTTTATGATTCTTGAGGACCGTGACCTATCCACTTTGAAAGTGCATGCGTGTATACGTTTCCTGCCGTTTTCGGGCTATTCTTCGAGCCTTTCATTTTGTCGAGGTCTCGCCTTTCGAGTTTTTGTTGACCAGATGCTCATTCATGTCATTGCTCACGTCGGCAGGAGCTGCTAGCGGTGCTTGGTATCGATGGCGGCCCGCTGACCGTGGAGGAAGTCCGCGCTTCAAGTTTGGTTTCGTTTCTCGAAGCCTTGGAGCAGAGACACTGCATGCAGAATCCGCTCCAACCCAAAGCTTAATTTTAACGCTACGCCGCCCGCCTCGGCTGTGTAGCGGCAGGCTTTACACGGTTGTTGATACCAAGTGCAACGGGGGCAAGGGGGGGTGGGACGGGGGGGGAGGGGGGGAGGGCTGGGACCGACAAATCAGGTAAAATGAAGGGAAGCCGGACAAGGGGGTGGCAAACGGCTTAGGTGGAGGGTACCTGAGGTAACCATCAAGACGCCTGGGCCTCTGGCCTCGGCGGATTCCTTACCTGAGGCTGGACATAGTTGCTGGGTTCTCCGCAAGCCGGCTAGGTGCAGAACAAGCCAAGCTGAAGCCTCAGACATGCAGAATGCAAGAAAGGATGCAAAGCCTGGCATCGACGATTTCGAGTATGCCCTGCAGGCAGTTGCTGTGAGCGACACACTCATGATTACGTGGGAAACTAGCTGTGTTTGTCCTTTCTCCACGCCTTCTTGCCCAAGACGTGGTTGTCGAACTGACTCCTAACATGCATCTGCCTATGCATGTAGTTTGTTCGTCCAACCAGGTAACAGAGCAGACACGGAAGTCGTATTAGCTTGTCCGTGTGTTCGTTCCTCTCAGCCTCGGCTGTTCGTGAGATTGTTCATTCACGCAATCCCTCGAAGCTCCACTGAAGTGTTTTCCTGCCCGTGTTTTCGTGCTGATCGTGTCGAAGATCCGGTGGCCAGGCATTTGCAACAGTCGGAGAGGGGTTAAAGGTGCATTTGGGACATTGACGGATGCTTGCCGCGGGATCTGGTGCGGCCTCGATCCTTGGCCAACACCCTAAACTGGCAGACAGGCGGCGGTGCTAGATCGTCTGGAGCCACATGCAGATCCCGCCCAAGCCAAGGAGAGGGAGGCCAGTACCGGGCAGTCGTTGTCATGTGGTTTGTCTTGAGGTCGTGGTTGCGGGAAGCACTCCAAAACTCTGCTGTCAAACATTGAACATGATGCACAGAGACCTTGTTCGCGGCTGATGTGGATGTGTTCCATCTACACCTTCAACCCCAAAGGCCACGAGGCTTCAGGCCAGATCCAGGGTGTTAGTACAGCATACCCAGCCCCGACTTAAGGGTGCTGCTATGTTTCTGTGCTCTCTGCATGCAGGCTCAAGTGCCTCGGGCACTGGAGCTTGCTGCCGACGTCGTCGCGGCGCTCTTTGAGTACTCAGCAGCACCCGAGGTCTCTGCGGCGGAGACTGACAGGTGCACTCAACGCCCTAGACAAGCATCCAACAAAAACAGATCTTGAGTGATCAAAGCCTGAAGTAATTGTGAGGGGGGCAATGCGAGTCCGACTTCCACAGCCACAAGACGGCGCATGGTGCAATTTCACGGGTTTGCGAAATGTCTTCCGGCAACCTCCAGGGCATGTTCCTTGTAGCAGCTTTAGGAGATGACGTCATCCTGTGCCTCATGATGTGCCTGCATGCAGAAGTGCAGAGCGAAAGAGGTGCAAGTCGTGGTGGATGATCTTTGTGCAGATCGCAGAGGAGACCACAAAGCTCGTATCTCTAGGGCGACCCGGACTTGTTTTGCGTGTGTTGCTCTACGCTGCATTTTTCCGACACAGCGAGAGACCAACAAAGGCAGCTGGAGAAGCTGGTGGAGGTCTTCGAACGCAGCCTCCTGAAGCTGCGAAAGGCCAATCTCCTTCTGCGAATGCACCGTGTAAGAAGTTATACGGTTATACGGTTATATTTTCTACGACCGACCAATGCTAGCTCAAGACGACGAGAACCACTGCTGCTGCAAGGGACATGAGGACTAGGTCGACGATGAACACCAAGACAAGAACGACTCAAGAAGAACAAAGAGAAAAGGTGCAATCTTGAAGTTATGAGTTATGACGATCTCCACCCAAACTCGCGAAGCCCGAATCCTCCGTGTACTTCCAGGCGTCGTTGGCTTTGGCGGCACAGCGCCTGAAGGAGTTCGATGCCAAGCAAGAGGCGGTTTTAGGGATGACCGTCATGTGTTCCTGATGTGATGTTTGTTGACTGTTGGTTGTTGTTGTTGCTACGGCTGCTAAGAAATTGCTGCTGCTGCTGCTGCTGCTGCTGCTTGCTGCTGCTGCTGCTGCTGCTGCTGCTGCTTCTTGCTGCTGCTGCTGGCTGCTGCTGCTGCTGCTGCTGCTGCTGCTGCTGCTGCTGCTGCTGCTGCTGCTGCTGCTGCTGCTGCTTGCTGCTGCTGCTGCTGCTGCTGCTGCTGCTGCTGCTGCTGCTGCTGCTTGCTGCTGCTGCTGGCTGCTGCTGCTGCTGCTGCTGCTGCTGCTGCTGCTGCTGCTGCTGCTTCTGCCAGCCACCACGAGGTCGACAGACCATGCTTGTTTCTGCAAATGCTGTTGGTACTGCTGCTCCACGGCTACGGCCCGTACCAGTACTCGAACCTCAAACCATCTGAAGTCGCTTCGAGCCCGTACGAGGGCACCAACGTGCTTATACTGAAAGCCTGAGACCTGACAGCATTGTGAGCTATGATCCCAAGGCTTGAACTTGAAGTAATGTCGGCCTGCAGACTGTATTGACTGGCCGACTATTGACGCGTCTATCGCTTGGGCGTGTTCTTCGGCCGTTCACACGAGACAGCTATCCAGGCTAATTAAATTACTAGCCGTAGCAGTTAAGGATGACGCTAACTACTGTGCCGAAGACGCAAGGCACACTTGCCAGCACGGAAGAGTGAGAAGAGCAACACAGTCATGACACAAGCAGCTAGCATTGCTAGCATGGCGGCAAGGCAAGAGGAAGAATTAAGACTGGAAATCATTACACTCGAAGCGACCCTTTGCAAAAGAGCCTCAGCCCTTGCTTTTCTGACAAGGAAGCTTTGAGCAATGTACTGTAGCGAGCCGCTCTGCGAGGCGGACATGAAGGCCGCCAAGGAAACCTCTGAGGAGAAAAAGTCTGAAGCCCGCGTGCTTCGGTTCTGTCAGTTCAGAAGTGGGCTCTGCTGACTGGTGGCTAAAATGGGCTTGCAGGGTTTAGTGTGCAGTCGGCCCTCTGCCTAGGGCCAAGGTGGAGCGGCCTCGGAGCAGGCTCATAGACTAACTGGATCGACTTACATGCCTGTCGGGAGACGAGCGATATAGGCCAGGCAGTACCTCGATTTTCTTCCGACCGGGGCGGGCAACGGCTGAAACTGAGGCAGCAAAAGACGCGAAGGAGCGTGAAACCAAGCGACTGGATGAGCGAGTCTTGACTTTGGACTCGGCTGTCAGTTCTGTGCTTGGCAGTCACAGAACATGATGAACACTTGCTGGATTGCATGTGCGGCGTCTAGAGTCTAGAGCCAAAAAGGAGCCCTACAGGAGGCTCAGGTCTCAAGGAGGCCGTCAGCCCAAGCAACGCTTAGCAGACTCCCCACCACGATGAAGGCCGGCTCCGGAGCCAATGTGGAGGCCCCAGGCCAATGAAATACAGGAAGGCCCTTTTGCAGACACGCCGAACAAAAACTTGGCACCTGCTCAACTTCCTCTCTCAAAGAACGACCTCACACTCCCAGACCGAATCCCACCAAGTTTTAAAACTCGAGGAAAAAAGCTGATCTCCCAGCTCGGTGTCTCTCCGAACGGCCATGTCTTCCTGTCACTGCGGCAGATACAGTTGAGTGGTCTTCACTGAGGGCAATTTGGGGAGGTTTAAGTTTAGGGCGGGTGCTTCGTGTCTTCCAGTCGCTTTTGGGACCGGGAATCGCAGGTTGTGGGCTTCGGTGTCACCGTCATCATCATGGGACCCATGATTCCACGTCATCACCATTACGTTGAAGGTCATCATCTGAGATGCTTGAGACTGGCCGTTTTGTCGCGCACCTCATCCTTCCGGGTTCGACCGTGCCGACAGCCTCCCCAACGAAGCCGACAGCTTTCACTTGCCTTTGGTTGAAAGCAGCCGGCTTGGCTTAGCTGTCAGCTGAGGACGATGACCTCGCTGTTGAAACAGCTGAGCTCCCGTCTCGTAGGCCGGGGCTGGGAAGGGTGTGTGGAATTCAACGATCTGTTGTTGAGGGCTCTGGGTTCAGGGTTCGATGTGATGTGTGAAAGCTGTTCACAAACCACAATGCAATCGCAGCATGTGCCCTTCCATGGCGGAGTGGGAAAAACGCAGCAATGTCCATTCTGACTCCAGCCAAGCGGTTATCCATATTCTGTATGCACGAAGATCTCTTGACATGTGTGCATATGTTGTGCATTTTTTGGTGGTCCAGCCCCAGGCTGCTGTATGAGATTTTGCTACAGCAATACCGACCTACCGACCCAGGACTTTAAGTCTGGGTCTGGTTCTTCCAAATGTTCTAAGGGAAATAATTACAGACTTATGAGTATGTAACAGTATGTATGTGATTAAGTTTCTAGAGAGCGCAAAGAGAGAGAGAGAGAGAGAGAGAGAGAGAGAGAGAGAGAGAGAGAGAGAGAGAGAGAGCAAAAGGTCGGAGTAAATAGGGTGTTGATGGGGCTAGGAGCGGTCAGGCTCTTTCAACTGCCGGCTTCGAGCCCGGATTTCCCTGCTCCTGGAGCGGCTGCTAGCCCTGGATCACAAGGTTCATTTGTGTTTTTCGTTGGAGGGGGCGAGAGGTGCGTCGAGAGTTGAGGGGGGTCCAGGGATTAGGAAGGGGCAAGCTGTTTCAGGGTTGAGGCATCAGGACCCAAGCTTTGCAACTTGCCTGAGCGCCGGTCAGCTTTCCAGGACTCGAGTCGAAGGCATGCAGGAGGGAGGTTGTGCTTTAGGGGTTTGGAATCACGGGGGATTGCGAGGATTGGGCGAGTGCTTGTGTATTTGGGGTTTTACGGGTCGTTCCTGTGTTGGGGCTTTAACGCAGTTGCGGATTGGTAAGAATCATTTCAGGGCGTGTGTAGGTTGGGAGTTCTGTCGGAGACACTACCCGGTCAAACTCGGAAAACAGGTATATAGGCCATTTGTGATGGTCCAGGGCTGAGAAGATTTAGAGCTCAGGTTCGACTGACGATCTTGATTCTTGATTCAATTCGGTTATCGTACTTTGCCGAATGAAGTAGATGCTTTAGTTAGCCTTGCATCTAAGATAATGACACATGTGTGCAACGAAAGTCTATTCGCCTACTGGACCAAATGTATTGTAGGCTGTTCAAGCTGCCACATGGGTTTCTGTGGAAGAAAAGCCAGATTCTGCTTCTTTGCCCGACAGGCCATTGCTAACAATCAGACGCTTTGCTGAACCGGATGTGCGCATCTTGCATCTTTGCTTGTGGTTGATCGGTTCCATCGTATTTGCGGGGCTAACACGTGACACCTCCAGCTGGGATTGCTGCTCTGTGTGTGTCGAAGATGAAAATGTGGCTTCAGTCAGAAGCTGCAATTACATACTATTTGCTGGAACCTGCTCACCAGCGGACATGTGTTGCTGGCGGAATCTGTCTGTTTCGATGAACGCTACGAGCTGGTAGCGACTTGGGAGGGTCAGAACCTGCCTTGCAGCAAAACATGCGCTGTGCTTGCAAACCACGGCTGTCGAGGAAGACTCGAGCTCAGGACTTTGCCCCTCTGGCAGCAGCACTTTTTGGGGGTTGCGGGCTCTTGCCATTCTGCTCGGAACAACTTCAGCTGCGAGCATCCAAACAAGACAAAGAGGTGCATGGCGGAATAACACCGAGACGCCTACCATGGGATTGCGAAAGCTTCACCCCTGGAAAGCATGCCCAAACTGCAATTGTGGTAAGCTCGAGCGACTCATCAGTCATTCTGCTGAGTACACCGTGGACGACTTGGACATCGATGTGAAGGCTGGCTGTGGTGCCGGTTCATGCTGATAATTGGGACACGCGCTAGGCCGCTACACGTACGTACGCCCACAGCAGGACTCCTGCAAGGTTTTGTGTTTCAAGCCCGAGCAAAGAGTGAGCATTTTCGGGCGCAATCTGACTTCTGGCAGGTTCTTCCGTACTCTCTGGATGTTAGCGAGGCCAGCTCTGTGCCAGAGGTGGGCCTGCTGGAAAGGGAGGCGATCCGGTAGGAGCGCCGCATAACCAGTGGCTTCAAACTAAAATCCTTCACGACGTTTGCAGCTGGTGGATGTCTGGGCATCAATGACTTGACTCGCGAAGACATACCCCAGAGTATAGGAAGCATTGAAGAGCAGTGTAAGAACCAGGGTTTTGGGAGCGCAGAAACCCGCCACGGAGGCCCAGAGGCTGATATTCGTCGTCACATACTTTGGGAGGGGGGTCGTCCTGCAGTCGGCACGCCTTGACCGAACCAGAATGACAGCTCTGTTTCTGAAGCCCCGTGGGAGGCTTCACCACTTCAGCTGTTGTCGCAGCATCCCCTAAGACACAGCGCCATGAATCAGACGGGGTGAGTAGTGAAATGTGGGGCCTTGAGCTTCAGATTCACGGTACCCCTCGCTGCAGCTGATCTCCAGAACACGATTTACTGTAGGACTGTAGGATCTCTGTTGGAGAGCCTGCCGAGGTAGTGCCGGCGCCGGCAGAGAAGGAGGTCCTTCGGCTATTCTAGATGCTCGACGCTTCTCTCGTACTCCTTATTTAGCCCAGAATTTGTTTGGATGGCCGGGGAGTGGGTGTAAATGGAAGCGACAGAGGCAGGACAGGGGACGGCCGGGCTGGCTGGCGGGAATGGGCAACGTTAGTGCAGTGCAGAATTGTGGGAGCAACGGCTGGCGTGGGGGCGAGCGGCATGTGTGGTGAGGATGGAGGAGTAAGGCTGGTTGCAGGTGGATGCGGGGAGTTTGCGGATTTTAGGAGCCAGTGCTAGAAATGCCGTATGTGACATATTGAGTACCACTGTTTCTTTGGTGCTGGTGCGTCTCCGCAAGCAGAGAGAGATCCTTTCCAAAGTCACGTTGGATTGATTGTGTGCTTGCTATATGCTAGAACGTTTCCGGTCCAAAGCGAAGCCAGAACCTAATCGACGGAGAAAGTGCCTGGAACAGCAGGGGGATTGTACTGTCCGTCAGTAGAACGCAGAAGGTTGCAAGCGCGAAAGTAGTGCCATGTGCATCGCCTGAATCCAGCAGCATAGAGTATGTCGGGAGCTTTTTGCCAGTGTTGAGCTTGCCGGAAGAAAAGAGAACTTGAGCAGACCCTTTTCAACTATGTATTTTGTAAGCCCTCAGGCAACCTACCCCGCAGACCCACACTCACCGTCCGTCCAGACATCCCTGTCCCTGCAGGTGGATCAGACGCAGTCGGAGCCTGCTCCCGCAGAAGCTGCAGCTGAGGCTGGGACTGAGGTTGTTTGCGCTTAGTCTGTCTTAGGGACCCAGGCTCCAAAGCTAGGCGGCTAGGACTACAACAACTCATTTCGGATGGGGTCCGCTTTGCCCTAGGCTTCACTTATCGTGGCAGCAAGGAAGGCCGCGAAAGTCTCGCGTCGAGCTTTCCGGCTGATGCGCGAACCAGAGCTTGCTTTTCCTTTTGGTTGTCTTCTTAGGAGTCTTGTTCCGCTGAATTCTATAAGCCCCTGGCGCATGTTGGCCGCGAGATACCTCTACAACTTAAGCTCCTGAATCCTTGACATTGGCAAGACTTCGTGATATTTTTTAAGTTAGTCTTGCCTCCCGAGTTGGCACCAGTTGACTCGTGAAACTAAGGTCTTACTTAAAAGTTGTATACCCCCTATATCAATGAAGCACCGCAGCATCAACGTTTGCTCTTGCAGCGCACGAACTCAGATAGACCCGACTCTCGACTGGCATTTCGACTCTGCTCCAGGCCGGGACGAACGGCAGCAGTCCGGCCGAGGCTTGGTCTTTGCTTGGGCGTTGCATTGTTTGGCTTCTTTACGGCCGTTGAATGCAAAGGACCAGGAATACACGATCACCCTTTGACCACGACAACATTCATGTTCGCTGCTTGCACGATCGATGCTCCGACGAGCCCTCCCTCGTGGTCGGAGACCAACGCGTTAGCTGACAAACACCCCGTAAGCCTCAACATGGCGATCGTAGTGCTCAGCGGAAAGAAACAGCTATGAAAGATATGACTTTCCGAGCCTTTGGCCTAACCGTTCAACCTAAGCTACTCGTACAGCTCGGCTGCGGCTTCCTTACAGATGCTCTGTAGGGGTCCTTCGTTGTTACATGGGCCGAACATGTGGCCATGCGAGATCGTCATGTCGAAACTCTTCGGAAATATCTGCAAAGCTGTTCATCCGAACCAGAGTACCTCAACTCCCAAACTTGGGATCTTCCGGGCTTAAGCTGTTGAAGGTCAATCCTGAGGCATTTTGAATGGAGTCTTCTGGTCTCAGGCTCAGGCTTCCCATCTCCAGACTTCAACGTTGCTCATCGGTTTGCCACCGGCATTGCCGATGTTTCTCCATTTCCGTACACAGGAAGGGTGCTTCCGCACGGAAACGGCATGGCAGACCCATTGGAGTCGGTGCATAGCCTTGATCCTGCAGCAGGAGAAGTTCAGCAGTTTGGGCCATGATCCGAAGCTCGGGTACAACGACTACACAGGCTGCAACACCACCATGTCGATTACGCCATTACCTAGTGACTCAGTACTACTACTACGACGACTAGTGCCACCACCACTGCCACTGCCGCCACCACTACCACTGCTACCACCACGACTACTGCAACAACAGCCACAGTAACAACTGCTGCTGCTGCTGCTACGGCGGCTGCTGCTGCTGCTGCTACTGCTGCTGCTGCTACTACTACTGCACTGCTGCTGTACTACTGTACCACTGTACAGCTGTACCACCACTACTACTACTACTACTACTACTACTGCTGCTGCTGCTGCTGCTACTACTACTACTACTACTACTACTACTGCTACTCCTGATGATGCTACTGCTACTGCTGCTCCTACTGCTACACTTGCCGCTGCTGCTGCAACTACACGGAGTCGACTTGATCACGGAGTCGACTTGATCTTCTTGTGAGTGTCCAGTACCGATGAATTAACTTGATTCAAACAGTGCAACACAGAGCATCCCGCTGTTTTTTGTCTGTTGCCATTGATTGGCAGATGATTTCGATACTTGCTAGTTTATGCGACTCTTCCAAGACTAGCCGTTACTTTTGTTCCTCCTTGCTCTGAATTCACTGTTCAAAGCTAGATGTTGGTGGTACTGTGCTGTGAGTTTTCCGGTTGGTTGCTCTTCTATCTGGTTTCTGCGAAGGGTTACTTGCCAAGGATAGCAAGTTTTCAGTGTGCTGATCTTGTATGCGCGTCTTCTTATCTCAGTCTATCAATCAGTGCAGTCTTTGGGTTGTGACATTGCAGACCATTAGAATCGTTCATGCAGAATCTTCATGTGCGGTAGAGTTGCTTGCGCCGGCTCGACAGGTTTCTGGGCGTTGCAGGAGTCGCTTCAAGTTGCTGAGAAGCCCCTCGCTTGAGAGTTTGGACTCGGAGGGATTGAAGACGAGTGGTTGCAGCAGGTGTTGCTTGGACATGGTCAGTGGCTCTATTAAAATTAACAATCTTGAAGGCTTGCAGGATACTTGGCGCAACAGCCTGCTAGATTCTTGAGGATCGTTCCTTCGGGGGTTGCCAGATTTCACAGTACCCGTCAGCCCCTTGGTTTTGACTACCGGATACTTTGTGGTGTGGTCTCTGCGTCAAATGCTCGGTGGTTGAACGGGCGGCGAAGCATGAAGACCGTTTCGAAAGAATACTCGGTGGGTGACTTGAAGCGGAACTCCGAAAACACAGTCAAGGGCCTATGCTTGCGAACTCAGGCTGCCCGCCCACCCTGGTTGAGCTTACCGTGCGTTAAGACGCGTTGAGACCAAGCCCATGTCGCCCCCCAGTCCCGGTTTCACGTCTTGTACTGTCCAAACATGGCCGCCTTCCAGAGTCGAGTAGTAGGGTACTGGTACTCGTCAAGAGGCGCAGCGTGCGCCGTGCACGTGCGCATCCCGAGGCTCTTCGAGAAGCCCGAGAACTGGAAGCACTTCCACGAGCCCTGGCCCGTCTTGGGGGAATCGGTCGGGCTCCTGAGGTTGATCCATCGTTTTTTTCAATTCGCCCTCCCCTGTCGATTTCGCTGGCAAGTTCGGTAGGATTTCACAGGAAGTTCGCTCCTGACTCCTGACCGTGGGATGTGTTGCTGGACCTATAAAGACTGTCGAGTTTAAAAAAAAACTAGTTCATTCACACCAAAATGGGCTGCGTGTGATGACAGTCATCAGTTCAATAGCACTGTTCCATAACAGCTAAAAAGCCACTTCTGCCAAGCAGCCCGGGCCGCGGGATTGCGGTACGGTGGGGGCTGTGCTGTAGGCTGACACATGCAGCGATGGCCGTGGAACAATCGAAATCCGAAACCCTGAGCAAAGCGGAAAATAGGGCGCACCAACAAGCAAATCTGTGGCACAGATTCTGAATCGTTGGTTTGCATAGGGAAGTCTTCGCCTAAGAGTTGTTTCTTACTACAAATCGTGCAATAGATTCTCGGTCTCAGTGCAGAGATGGCCAGCGGGTACACGATGTGGATGTATGAACGCATGTTTCCAGCTTTCGCATGGTTTAGGGCTTGCTGTGGCCTTTCTAGGGACCGGGGGAGACCTCGTTCCCCTGGGGGCCCTGGGGCCCAGGGGGCGATGACGAAGCTGCTGAAGCAGTTCGAGACGCCTGGCGCAGATCCCGAAAGCATCCAGGGTTGAGGTTCGGATGAGGCCCGTGTACTGTAGGGCTACTTCACAGCCTCGACTCACAGGGGTTTCTTCTTGATGGTGATGCAACACATTTCCAGCTGAATGAGAATTCCTTTCGTGTTCCCCGTCTGGGGTGCTTAACCCTGGAATTGTGTGTGGCGCTAAGTTTCGGAGTCAATCCTCAGCCTAATCCGCCAGACTGATCTCCTTCAGCCGGTACGAGCAATGTCTAAAACCAAACCTGCGAAAGGCTGAGAAGCATGATGAAACGGCAGAGATAGTTACGATGACAGCCTATACGGGACAAGCTAGCCGTCATAGACGTCGCGATACAGCGACGGCAAGAACAGTTAAAGCAGAGAGTCGCTAGTTACCACCGATGCCGGTAGTTGTCAGTTGCTGAAAGCACAACGGCACCCTGTCCTCCTTGCTTTGCTCCGGTTCAGGAAGTATCCGACCTCGGCAGAGCAGCGAGAGCCCTGGACCCCGCCTGAGGCGGCCCCGCAGCGGCAGGCGGGAAGGGCAAGATGCGAGGAACGTCTGCTCAAAGGGATCCCGGAACATCTCAGAACACGGTGCAACGGCAGGTCGCTCGTGCCCGAGCATTCCGAGCTTCTTGCATGCACGTGAGGCATGGCCCTCCAAAGTCAGGCAAAAGAAGCCTTAAGTAGCACTTTATCTGACAGTGCGAGAAAGTGCGGAAATTACTTCGATGACATGCCCAGTTGCATGGTTTAGTCGCACAGGTGCTGACGGTTGTGATGACCGCAACCATGAGCATAATATCATGATCAGGAATACTTTAGTGCCACTCTCCCCAACACTAGCTTTCGATGCAGGGGCCAAAACTCAATCACCGTCATCATCACCGCTAAAGTTATTGGGGCCCTCGTAAATGGTTTGCTTGCTTTTGCCCGTGGCGACATTAATTAGCAGCAGACGCGGCATCATCAGCAATGTGCCAGCATAGCCACCGTCCTGACCATGATCAGCCTTGAAATCACAATGCACAAACATGGCCAGACCCTGCTGCAAAGGTGCAGATGGACGACCCGCAACTCCGGATACAATTCCTGACGCAGGCCTGAGCGGTATGCTATCCGGGGATACAGGTGATTGACAGTATGGAACACGTCCGTACACTTGTTTCGAATGACGAAACCTGGCGAAATGAGGGGCGTGCACCTTGCAAGGGCCATGTAGTGTAGCTGATTGTGTGGTGATGTTTAATCTGACTGCCTGGATTGCGACTCCGTTCATGTGTCGGTTCCCAGGCCTCGTCATCCTTCGTTTCGTGCAGGTTCCATGCTACCGGATGCCCGGCGATTAAACTCATAACAAACAACGACAACAACCAGAGTCTTGGGCCTGCAGACTTGCAGGTGCTGATTGCGTTCCAGGCTCTGGAACAGGACGTGACCAGAGATTTGGCAGCACAGATTCGGAAGCTTGCAATCATGCGTCGGAAGTGCAACCTAGACATGAGGCATGGCGCAGGCTGCGCATTGACTGAGTCTTGAAGCAGGGCGTCGAAGTTTCTCTTTGAGTAGTAAGTCATAATTATATCAACGTCGAGTTTCACGCAATTCAGTTGGGCAAGATGCTCGCAAGTAATTATCAGAAGTCAAGCAATATCGAACAGAGCGACGCATCCAAACCATGCTCCAATCATGCCAGTCTGCGCGTTACCTCCACGAAGACGGGTGTAAGTCTAAGTTGTCTGTATATCCACGGAGCCCGACGTAGAGTATCATTTTCATAAGTTGTGCTGATGGGAAGTGGGCACATACGGTAACCGACGGGACACCCAAGTCTCTAAAGCCAGTTTCAGCCGCCGCTCGAACCGCTGTCTGAAACATTTTCCCGTCGTGTCGAGGTCCGAAACATCCAAGCGTACGGGCTAGATGCACTCTCAAGATATTTTCAAGCTTACGGCCACTTGTGCCCTCACTCCCGCAGACGCAGAAGCGACCAAGAAGAGTACGATGAAAACGGCAGCCACCGTCACAGCTTTCATGAGGTCGCAGAGATCGCCCGGGTGGGCTGATCTCGACGCAGCCCCTCGGTTGCGATAAAGCCCTGGGTTGAGGGATCGCAGCTTGGGAGTTCTATGCTCGAGGACTGGGGCATTTCGGTGCATGAAACTTTGCAGGTCCATTGTTCGTCGAGGCGGAGTGTAGGCTATTGACATCTCTTTTTCATGTTTTCGGTTGTTGTCAAATTATCTGTTGCCCTTGGTGACGTCTAGTGTGTCTGGCAGAGCACCGAGTATGCTCGCCCGGAATCACAGGCACATGCAGCAAACGACTGCGACAGGAGTAGTTGGGCATTTCTCGCTTATTTGGACATCAAGAATAAACGAGAATTGCCCAACGGCTGGGGGCGGGTGCCATTTCTTGAGATTTAGTCACTGGCAGTTAATCTTGATCGAAAAGAACTCGTGCTAGTTTCGTCCATTTGGATTAACATGTGCTACACGGTGTCGACAGGGTTCTGTGGCAGTTGAACGTGCGGCCGGAAGGCGAGGCATGCACACCCTTGGCGCACTGAAGTGCGCAATTAACCTTCTACTGTAGCTTCCGCTGGAGTGGAGGTTCTGGGCGAACCCCGAATACAGTCAATCCGCAGTGAATCTGCAGCCAAAGTGCATCCCGGCACTCTGCGAATGTGTTGAAGGATTTGTCTGGTTTTAGGCCTATGCTGCAGGATATCGTTGTTGATGTTGTTCAGAACTAATCGTGGTGGTCTGTCCAGGCCCGACTCGATCTATGCTCAGTTGAAGGACATTGATCTGGCAGGGCTCTCACTCTTCTTGGGAATCCGAACTTGAGATTAAGCTTTTACGATGCAGCCCTCTGAGCTGAGGGCTTCGGGCCCCTAGTATAGGATTCCTTTTCGCCAGCAAGGTGCTCAGCTAACTACAGCACATTTCGGATTGGAGGTGGTTGCCTACGTGGCAGGTTGTTCAGCAAAACTTTGAGGTGTCCGCCTTTTTTGTCAGCTCCTGTTTTTTGCAGTGCCTGAAAGTATGCGTGCCTACTTCTCCTTCTGCCATTTTCATGTAGCTGTTGTTCTTTGCAGCGACAGCGGCGTCGCCATGACTCGTACTTCTATCAGACTCTTGTCCTCACGATTGTTTCCATGGCGATCCTCATAATCACTCGTATCGCCACTTTGGGTACTGCGATTACGATTATGTTTGTTGTTATCAGCGAAGGCCATTGTTCGGTCTTCCGGACAGGAGATCAGGAGCTGCATCGAGAAGGTGTTGACTCAGACGCAACTCGACAAAACTCGGTGCCGGTGCTAACGCAAAGGTCGGTTCCGCTGCCAACATAGCTTGCATTAATGGCCTAGCCATTGAGAGCGGCGCTACAGCGTGCAACGTCGAAGAGCAGCAGGTTTTCCGATTTGGACTCTGCTACGATGCGCTTCCCTATTAGGGTGCATGTCTAGTTGTCAGACGTTCATGCATGCTCTGCACAGGGAGAGCCTTACCACCAAAATGGTAGCGACCAGGGACATTGTAGCAGTAACAGCACAGCCAAAAAAGCAACAGCAGTGTGCAAACTTGCAGTGCATTTTAGTTGCAGAAGTGATACAGTAGTAGCATGTACGAGATATGTACGAGTAGTTAGCGCACACGGCCCGTGCGGGCCGTGCGTTTCGACACATTTCCGAGTGCGGTGAGGGGGCCTAATCAATGACGTAGTCTTCATGGCCGTGAAGTTTTGTTCAAGTATCCTCTGAGTCTTGGAGACCGACCGATCTTCCAATACATGACCCGGTACACCTTCCCTTTCAGTGTGTATGACTGGAAAGTTTTTAAACCCTAAAGCCTAAACCTTCAACGCTCAAAGCTTCTGTTCTGGATGTGCCGCTTACAGCATGGAGACTTCGCGATGGCTAGCACGGTTGGTCTACGTTCTCATATGCTTGCGACAAATGGGCTCCAGCGATTCGAAACATGCTCCGCATTTGAAGCACAGGAATGCCGACTCTGTGCCCAGAGCACGATTTTGAAACTTAAAAATGCATGCAGTATAAAATGCGCCGCGCCGTAGCCAGGGCAAGACTTTGAGGCAAACATTCTCGTGGAACTTTGATAAACTTTCAAGACCCGCCGAAACAACATTCAACACAAATCGCACGGGCACCGAGCGAACATGCATTTTCGCGGAAAGTTCGCATGACTTTCTAGTTAGTGTGTTCGGCACCTCCGAAAGCTCCTCGCCCATGCAATACGCGCGTTTCTCTACAGTCTTGGCCAGGCGGACGTGTTGCACTAACAGACAAATAAGTAGCAGCAGAAGTAGCAGTAGCAGTAGCAGTAGCAGTAGCAGTAGCAGCAGTAGCAGCAGTAGCAGCAGTAGTAGTAGTAGTAGTGGTAGTGGTAGTGGGAGTGGGAGTGGGAGTGTTAGCGGTCGTGGTCGTGGTCGTGGTGGTGGTAGTGGTAGTCAGTAGTCAGTAAACAGTAGTCAGTCTTCAGTGGTCAGTAGTCAGTCGTCAGTCGTCAGTCGTCAGTAGTCAGTAGTCACAGTAGTCAGCAGTCAGTTGTCAGCAGTCAGTAGTCGTTGTCGTCGTGGTCGCAGTAGTGCTTGTGGTAGTGGCAATTAGCAGCAGTGGCAGCAGCAGCAGCAGGAGGGGTAGTAATCGTAGTCGTAGGTTAACAGCAATGCATCGCAGTTGCCGGCAAGCCTCGTGCGCTTATTTGGCGCTCTAGGCGAGCCAGCGTGGGCACCATGGTCACCCACGTCTTGGCGCGAGAATCGCATTGGGTTAACTGGATGCCCGGCATGCATGGAGAAGGGGCTGAAGTCGCCCTTCGGCACTCTGCCTGTGTTAAGGCCCAACCGAACTGCACAAATGGCGCACAACAGCGAGAACTGGCGGAGTCGTGGTGGTCCCAGCCGTAGAGATAATTTATGAGCAGCCACGGAGCGCATCCTTGCAACTGCTGAACATGCAAGTCTTTTCATGTTGCACATAGATTCATAGATAAGTAGTATGCGCAGGAGAGCAGTGCAAGCATTACTCATGTGTACATGTCTAGCCTCATGCTTATGCAGGTGTGTATTTCGGCGTTGTTGTATATTCATATCGCCAACTGTGTCCGCATGCATGTGTGTGTTTGTGTGCGCGTGCGACTCTGCATTTTGCGTTCTGCATGCGATCTAGGAGTTGGCACATGTGATGTGAATTATGATTAAAGCTTTGCCAACCATGGTTTGTATTGTTTTGTACTCTATGGTGTGAAACTCCTTGCGCGTGTACGATTTCCGAATCCTGGCCTAGTTCTGAGTTATATAACACGGCTGCCATTGTCTCGGTGAAGTGAGCTGGGGGGACATGTGCCCCAAAGTTTAGTCAGCTAGGCAATGGACGAGCTTCAACCGTAAGCTCAACACCCCGGAACAACTAAGGGTTGCCTCACTGGCAGAGAAAAACACCTGGCTACTCAGAAACCCTCTGCTTCGCCGCTATGCTGGCTTGTCCTCGCATTTTAGGAGGCAACAAAACCCAGGCCATGAGGCCTAAACTTGGGCTAAAATCTGTTCTAGTGATTCTGACGCCAAGGAAGGGCCAGGGCTGTCGTGAATGGGAGCATGACAGCCTGGAGATGCTGACGGGCAAGGCGACGGAGAGTGTTTAGGATTGCGACGGTTGAGGGGGCGTTTGCTGTTTCGGCTGAAGCATGTCGCGAAGCTTTTTTGGGCGTGTTTCGGGCGTATCTACAAGGTGTTTTGGTATCTTTGCCCGGGAAGTTCCGACAAATGATACGCATCGCGGGTTCATGTTCGAACACCTAAACAGGCTTGAGTATTCGACATCGTCTTCGGTGTATAAGATTTGAGAGGCAGTCCTAAAAACCAGTCTTACTGAAAAATGTTCGAAGGCTACGCTGAGCCAGCCGTCGATTCACAATCTGTCCAGTAGTCCAGTAGCGTAGACGAGTGTCCGTTCCAGACGGAATCAGCCAATCCTGACTGCGGCCTTTGCTACTTACGGCCATGACGCGACAACTTCGTTCCTGTGTCGTATTTTAGCCCCTGGATATCACTCACCCAACGCTTCCCAGCTAGTACATCAACATATCCGGCACCATTGAATAGCTGCAAAGCGGGGCGTGAGCCGTGCCAAGTGGAAGCCAAAATTGAATAGCTGCATGACAGACGCCGTTTCAGCAGCGTCTCTTGAAAACAATCGAACGCAAGAGTGAGTTAATGGCAAGGGGCTGATGTCCAGTCTGGCAGCCATGGCATACTTTGACTGAGGTGCAGGAGATTGATGCGGTGGGAAATGCTGTCTCGCCCCTCTGCTCAGCTTTTTCGGAATCAGCTCGAGGTCCCCACCCGACCACACTGCAGTTGCCTTGAGCTTCCCAGTCCCAACCCATGTCGAGCTCGAGTCCTGATGTGCTCCCGAGCCGAGGTTTCCCAAAAGCGACAAGCCCAAGCTGGAATCCAGCATCCTCAACCTCCTGAAGGACTCATTCCCTTCACCATCGGGATTCTTTTGTGGCGGGGGGGGCGAGCTTCGCAAAGCAACCGCCTGAGCGCTTTCAGCAGATCAGCTCGAGGAGGTGAAAGACTTCACGCCACCGGTGGTGCAGAGTCCCCGAATAGACGGGGAGGGGAACCCCGAACCCTGTGCCAGAGGCTGAGAGGGAAGTGTTGAGGTCCGGTTGGGTTTCTGTTTTGGGTCTTCTTGCTGCTGTGGGAAGAGCCTTCGCTCGAGCAAGCGCTTCGGGCTTGCAAGCTTGGGGATGAGAGCGTGGAACTTCGGACCCCCGCAGCGCCACCACACTATACCGGATACTCAGCTTGGATCAGATTCGATCTACAGAAACATTTCAAGGCTCCAAAAGTCTTCGGTTCTGGCGATTTGTCGCCCAGGCCCTGGAAATTCGGAAGCTTGGTGATCGGGCCTTGGACCGACATGAGGAGGACGAGGACCCCGGGCTTGCGGGAGCTCTGTGTAAGACTCCCCTGGTTTTATACAGCAGCAAGCGGTTTCTAGCTTTCGCGCGGTGAAGTGTTGCTAGACAGTTGCACTACAATACATCTCGCCGGAACTGCACAGTAGGCTCGTTTCTGGGTTGGTGGTGCCACTGAGGACCCCGCCAATGGCATAGAAGACGAGATGCCTGGCTGCAGCCAAGTTTGGGCTAAAGGGTTGATACTGACTTCACTCGCTGTGATTTTTGAAAGCCGCTGTTAACCTTCTCATAGGTAGATGTATGAAGTAGTTGTCGTGCAAGTCGTGGTGTATTCAAAAGTAATTCTATGTCTCGATGCGCAAGCGGAACACTTGCATGGGTAGTTGTTGGCATGGATTCACGGCATCGTCTCGTGGTCGAAGCACTCGTAAAGCACGTCAGTTGCAGATGTGGCGGTCTACACTCAGGTACAAGGCCAAATACAACAAGGCCTTCATGTGGCAGAGCCGAAGGTTGTTCGGCCGACACCACATCCGCGTCTATGCCCGTATCCTGGTGGTGACTTAGAAGCTGCCAGCACCTGTCAAGAATGCGAGTGCCAACTTGACAGTTGCGAGTGTGTTCGACTCCGATGCAGTCTAGCAGCTCCGAAATCTGACAGTTGCAGTCTGAAGCTGCGAAGTGCGTAAGACTCTTCTATACTCATTCGCCGCTTGGTTCTCGGGTCTCAGCTCAGTACCCAGTAACCTGGTGCCTAGTATCAGCTCCAACTACCGGCGGGCCATGCTGCAGACCGGCTATCAGGCTCAAGCGTAACGTGGTGGAAGCTAGAAGCATCTCAACAACTCTCCGCCCTGAATCCTGACATGCCAGGTAATGACCCCTAGATCCTTCCGCCCAGGGAAAGAAGTTTCCGGCAAGACGGACTTCATGGACTTCGTCCGCTCTGCTCGGAATCGGAATCCTCCTCCGGAGCCGGCGAAGGATGCTGGTGCCCACGATATAGCTGTGTTCTTATTGCATATCGTTGCTGTCATCATACGCGTGCAGAAACACATGCGTCGTGTGTAGTGTACTATCAGCATAGGAAATCATAGGAATCTTGAGTGTGAGGGCTTTACCCGGGTTGAGACAAGGGCTGGCGGGTTTGTGTGAAAATGTTGCTCCGGTCCGAGACCCTACAGTCAAAGCTTGAAACTAGCAGCAGGAGCCCGTTGAAGCCGCGGCGCCCACAGCTGCTGCTGCTGCTGCCACCGCGCCCGCAGCCGCAGCAGCACCAGGGGCCCGGGGCCCTGAATGATCTGTGGTATCTTCGCTCGTCTCCGTGGCGGCGTAGAGAGTTTACTGCAGGGGGTTGATCCTTTCATTGCTAGCTTCAGGGCTCGAAAGCCACTTGCAGCTCGGCTTAGTCTTCTGCTGCAGCTCACTAAATACTGACGGCGGCTCAGCCCACAGCAGCGTGCACGGCTCTCGCGACTGTACTTCAACCTCAAAAACACATGCATGCACGTGCAGATTCGCACAGCGTCGCCTCGCACCCGGCAGATGTATCGTTTGTGCTCCCATGTCCAGGATAGACAAGCCTTGCACTTTGCTGGTGCCGTCGCAGGAAGCCCCTGCAGTTGCCGAAGTGTTGGAGGCACGTCGGGTTGCAAGATGCTGTCTGCACAAACGGTGCGAATTTGAATGAAGAGGCAGCCGTGGCAGCCGCTGAAGCCGTGGCAGCTGATGCCGCGCCAGGTGGTGGAGGTGTTTTCCTCAACCGGAACTTTGCTTGTTGTTTGTTCGCAAGAACCCCAAGCCTCCGTTCCATTGATCAAAATGTGTCCGTTTGCGTTGTCTGGCTTTGGGAGTCTTGCCTATCAGCTTCTGAACTCAAGTTGCCAGCCTTTGCCGCAAGCTTGTGGAATCCTGATGTCCAAGTCGCTTCAGGTGATGAGCCGGCGCCAGCCACGGAGGCTCGAAACTGAGTGGGCCGCTCCTGTGTAGCTCAGAACCGCAGCCTGCCGTGTGAAGGCACCGCCCCCTGCAGCAACTACGCCTGCAGAGGTGGGAGGAATATCAACAGGAATTGATGACTAGGTCACTAAGTCACTAGGTGTTTCGGGTTTTGGTTGCATAGTGAGGGTTCACGACGGCCCTAGGTGACCAGGCTGTGTGGCCTTCACAGTTTTCAGCCCAGTTTTTGCAGGAGGTATCAAGAACTACGATGCAAGCAGTAGTAGCATGAGCCGTGTGAGCCTTGCTGCTTCTGAATGGTTCAACCTTTTTGGTTTTGTGGAAGGCGGCCGGTGGGCACAACCGAACCAGAGACTTTAGACTTTGGACACCTAACCTGACAGGATGGGGGTCTCACTGGAAGGGAGTTGCAAGTGTGCGATTCGGGGTCTGTCCATTCTGAAGGAGCAACTCGTGTTGGAGCAACTGCACTTTTGAGTCTAAGTGCACGGCTGATGGATTCGCTCCGCAAGCTCGAAATCAGTGTCTGCTCTGTCCAGGCCTAGAGTCGTAGACCTGAGGTGCCTTAATGCCGCTCGTCATTTATCAAAATCGGCACAACGCAGCTGCAGATCCCGAATCTCTGCACTTTGAAGCCTGCACGAGCCGAAAAAAACCGGCCCGGAGCTTGCACAGAACCTTGCATTCCTTCCGGGTACTGATATGTCAGTCTTCCGACGTGGCATCTCCAACTTGCAGGCACCGGGTCCGGAAGCTGAAGCACCACCTGCTGCGGCCGTGCTGGATGATGGCTATGGCCCACCGGTAGATGAGGCTGGCCTCCTTTTTACCATATCATATACATGCATGTATGTACTGTATAAACAATCTATATATATATATATATATATATATGAGGGTGCGTCGGAATAGGGGCCCGTGCTTTTCGAGTAAAACAGCTGTTTTTTTTTCGTATTTCACAATGCAATTTGAAATTCTATCTTGAAAGTTGCTGAACACCTCAAGACTCAACAGGATGGAGTTGATGGCGAACCTGACAACTTTGCCGTAATCACACTACTCTATATTTGAACCCGACAGCCTATACAGCAACTCGCAAACTTCAAGAAACATAAGTGGTGAAGGAATCCCAAATCTGAAGCATAGCACTTGGCCTGACAGCCGATGTTGCACCCTTACCCGAAGGGTCCACCTAGATATATGATATGTGCCTGGTTCTTTATTCTAGGGGCTGCGGCCAGGTGCGGGCAGCGCGAGTTGGTGTCAGCGGATGTAGCGGGGGAACGGGAAAGACACGGTCAAAATTTCCAGACGGTGCCGAGACAACGACAGCTCGACACCGGAACAAAAGTGTGACGTAGGCCCGAAGTGCACAACTTATGGGTGATCTTAGGCTCTTAGCCCTCGTCGGCCCTCCATGTAGCCCGCATCCGCCCTCCGCCGGACCCCGCTGATGCTGATGATGCGCGCCCTTTTGGGGCTTCCGCAACCCACACAAAAACTTGGAAATCATCACTTCGCGCCCACTTCGCGCCGCGGGGCCGGTTGCGGGCGCCCGAGTGCTCATGATGCTCGCCGGCTCGCCTCCTGGGGTCGTCCACGGCGGCCCCGAAACCCGCCATGCCGTGGGGAATGGCTGCGAAGCGCGTGCGCGTTCCGAGACGCCTCCGGGCCAGGGCCCGCGCGGCCCGATGGAGAAACGGAGGTCCGATGATGCGGGGTCGGCGGCGGGTCGGCGGCACAACCCGTCGTGGCTTTTGCTTCGCAAGACAAGCCCATTCGTCTGAGCCATAGCTCAGTCCATACAGGGCAGCGAAGCGCTGTCCGATTTATGGGCTGCCGCCACTGCCGCCGACCCCAAAAGAAGAGAGGTGCCTATCCAAGGAACGCAGCAGGTGTTGAAAGCAGCCAACTGCAAGTCTTGTAACTGGCACGAGTCTAGTACTAGTACTAGTCCCCTGACAGAACACTGGGGGTGGTGGCAGTGGTGGAGGTGGTGGGGGTGGTGAGGGCGGTGAGGGCGGTGTGGGCGGTGTGGGCGGTGGGGGCGGTGGGGGCGGTGTGGGCGCGGGGGGGTCCGGGCACACATTGGCAGCCTTTAAATACTCTTTAAACACCTATACAAATACAGCGGTTAACTCCCCTGACAGAACACTGGGGGTGGTGGCAGTGGTGGAGTGGTGGTGGTGGGTGGTGAGGGCGGTGAGGGCGGTGTGGGCAATGGGGGCGGTGGGGGCGGTGGAGGTGTGGGGGGGTCCGGGCACACATTGGCAGCCTTTAAATACTCTTTAAATACAGCGGTTAACTCCCCTGACAGAACACTGGGGGTGGTGGCAGTGGTGGAGGTGGTGGGGGTGGTGAGGGCGGTGAGGGCGGTGAGGGTGGTGTGGGCGGTGGGGGCGGTGAGGGCGGTGGGGGCGGTGTGGGCGCGGGGGCGTCCGGGCACACATTGGCAGCCTTTAAATATTCTTTAAACACCTATACAAATACAGCGGTTAACTCTTGACAGTGGTGGAGGTGGTGGGGGTGGTGAGGGCGGTGAGGGCGGTGTGGGCGGTGGGGGCGGTGGGGGCGGTGTGGGCGGTGTGGGCGCGGGGGGTCCGCGCACACATTGGCAGCCTTTAAATACTCTTTAAACACCTATACAAATACAGCGGTTAACTCCCCTGACAGAACACTGGGGGTGGTGGCAGTGGTGGAGGTGGTGGGGGTGGTGAGGGCGGTGAGGGCGGTGTGGGCGGTGGGCGGTGGGGGCGGTGTGGGCGGTGTGGCGCGGGGGGGTCCGGGCACACATTGGCAGCCTTTAAATACTCTTTAAACACCTATACAAATACAGCGGTTAACTCCCCTGACAGAACACCGGGGGTGGTGGCAGTGGTGGAGGTGGTGGGGGTGGTGAGGGCGGTGAGGGCGGTGTGGGCGGTGGGGGCGGTGTGGGCGGTGTGGGCGGTCCGGGCACACATTGGCAGCCTTTAAATACTCTTTAAACACCTATACAAATACAGCGGTTAACTCCTTTGACAGAACACTGGAGGTGGTGGCAGTGGTGGAGGTGGTGGGGGTGGTGAGGGCGGTGTGGGCGGTGGGGCCTGCGGGGGCGGTGTGGGTGCGGGAGGGTCCGGGCACACATTGGCAGCCTTTGTTACTCTTTATTCACCTATACAAATACAGCGGTTAACTCCCCTGATAGAACACTGGGGGTGGTGGCAGTGGTGGAGGTGGTGGGGGTGGTGAGGGCGGTGAGGGCGGTGTGGGCGGTGGGGGCGGTGTGGGCGGTGGGGGCGCGGGGTCCGGGCACACATTGGCAGCCTTAGTTTTTAAACACCTATACAAATACAGCGGTTAACTCCCCTGACAGAACACTGGGGGTGGTGGCAGTGGTGGAGGTGGTGGGGGTGGTGAGGGCGGTGAGGGCGGTGTGGGCGGTGGGGGCGGTGGGGGCGGTGGGGGCGGTGTGGGAGCGGGGGGGTCCGGGCACACATTGGCAGCCTTTAAATACTCTTTAAACACCTATACAAATACAGCGGTTAACTCCCCTGACAGAACACTGGGGGTGGTGGCAGTGGTGGAAGTGGTGGGGGTGGTGAGGGCGGTGAGGGCGGTGTCGGCGGTGTGGGCAATGGGGGCGGTGGGGGCGGTGGAGGTGTGGGGGGGTCCGGGCACACATTGGCAGCCTTTAAATACTCTTTAAAACAAATACAGCGGTTAACTCCCCTGACAGAACACTGGGGGTGGTGGCAGTGGTGGAGGTGGTGGGGGTGGTGAGGGCGGTGAGGGCGGTGTGGGCGGTGGGGGCGGTGTGGGCGGTGGGGGCGGGGGGTCCGGGCACACATTGGCAGCCTTAGTTTTTAAACACCTATACAAATACAGCGGTTAACTCCCCTGACAGAACACTGGGGGTGGTGGCAGTGGTGGAGGTGGTGGGGGTGGTGAGGGCGGTGAGGGCGGTGTGGGCGGTGTGGGCGGTGGGGGCGGTGGGGGCGGTGTGGGCGCGGGGGGTCCGGGCACACATTGGCAGCCTTTAAATACTCTTTAAACACCTATACAAATACAGCGGTTAACTCCCCTGACAGAACACTGGGGGGGGTGGCGGTGGTGGCAGTGGTGGAGGTGGTGGGGGTGGTGAGGGCGGAGGGCGGTGTGCTTTGATGGGCTGTGGGTAAGCTAAGGAGTTAGGTGAGTTAAGATGATTAGAAATGGCAGTTATAAAAATTAGCTAACTAGTTAAGTAGTAACACAGAAGTAGTGTATAACATAAGATTCTCCGTGACATGTGCATGCTTTCATGTGTGCTTTTGAACGACGAAAACAGGATTTATGAGATGAAAATGTTGCCGTGGCCAGTGGCCGATGACATGGGAATGGCTCTGTGCTTTTGGATTTTAAGGTTGTTGTATAAAAAAGGCGGGCAATATGAAATTTTGAATCCTTCATTTCCTGGCTAAACATCATGTGGAAAAGCAACTTCAACTCATGCAGGAAGAAGCACCAGGGTGCTGAGCAAGGAAGATAAAGACATGCCCTGCAGTGCAACTCTGGAAATATTCCATGCAGTTTTTAAGCAGCTTTTGTTTGTTTTGCAGCTGCTATTTCATGGCATGTTTGCATGACCATGTTTGTCATGTGCATATAGCATGATCCTAAGGAGCATGCTTGGACTCATCATGTAAGCAGCTTTTCTTTGTCTTGCAGCTGCTATTTCATGGCATGTCTGCATGACCATGTTTGTCATGTGCATGTAGCATGACCCAGAGGTGCATGCTGAGCAAGAAGATCCATGTTTTTTTCGCTGTCGTGAAACGGAGAGCCAGGCCCTCGAAGAAGTTTGTCAGCTACGGAGGTGCAAAGGGATTAAAGTGCGGACACAATTCGTGTCTCTCAAATAGACCACCGCTGTCAGGATGTCTTTGCTCTCGATAATCACAGGCTGCTCCATCTCGGTCCACACTGCACAGTGCTTGTCCTTGTTGTACTCCTGCAAGCTCCAAAGGGAGACCACGGACCACAATGTGCCTTGCACGGAAACATGGCAAAAAACTTCGGCACAATCCCAAGGAGGGTCCCGCCCTTTGTCTGCTTGCAGCAAACACACGTCTGCCTTGCCTGCCAACCCACCACCAGGAAGCCGTAGAATCGTTGCGATCTTCAGGTCATCCTTGGAGACTTGTGGGAAGCTCTGGAGCACCAGATCCCTGAGCTTGGTGGGGGGCTTCTGCCGTGGGTTTTCCAGAGCGAGGGCGACCGGAAACTCGGGCAACTTCTCCAAGTGCCACAGCTCATGGGCAAGCACTTCCTCGTAGAGGGATCGCTCGAAAGTGCTGGTGTTCTGGATGGATGCTGCATATCTGGTGATTGTCCTGTGCTTCCGCTCCATGCTGAATGTAGCAGGCAGCCTCTTGTGCTTTTCATAGTGGTCACCCATATGCAGCAACCAGTGCATCTTGCGGGTTACGTGCTCCCCCCAGCCCGTTTCGAACCAAGAGCTCATGCACTTGTCGGCGGCCTCTCGCAACATGGATGGAAGCACACAACCATGCCCATGGCAGGCGGCCTGCAATAGTTCCACCATAAGGCACATCTGCAAAAAAGCTTCGCACTCGGATGGTAGGAAGCCTTTGTCAAGGATGCAGGTTCGGACGAAAAAGGCGAGCACCGGCAGCAAACTGAGCATTTCGGAAGCTGTCGTTTTGAACTTCCCCGCTTCTCTACAGGATTTCATCCGCTTGTTCTCGAAGACTTGCTTCAGCTTTACGTGTGCGAAGGAAGCCGGCTGTGTCCACAGATCCACGTATTTCTCCAGAGTGGCAAAAACATCCTTGAAGCCATGGTCCTTCGTGGCACTGAAAAGTAACCAGGTCGCATCATTCAATGTTCCATTACTCAAGCAGCAATGCATCCAATCGTGCACGAACATGGTTGCTGGTTTGACCACCCTCCTCAGCAGAGGCGCCGAAAAAATGCTTTCTGTGTTGAAGGTCCACCCAGTGGCTTGCTGCCACATGCCAAAGTCTTTGGCTGAACACCGGCCCTTCAGGTCGGCGAGCCTCGACCAAGAATCCCAAATATCGTCATCCGAAACCAAATGCAAGTCAGCATGTGCATGCTTGGGGATCTTCTCTTTGTTGCGATTGTCGGCTCGCTGATTGCCACACAACAAACAATACTTCGAACCCGAGTCACCTTTCACACTCCAAGCGAATTTGTGAGCTGCCCCGTCTTGTATTACCATGCTTGGCTCGAATGACAAATGAAACCCGCCCTTCGGCCCCTGCATCCAAACACCTGTCGCCGGGTCATGCTTAGAGTGCAAGAAGATACTGCGAAAGATGATTTTGAAGATCTGGCTGATGCTTCCCTCCAGCGAGGCCACAAAAGAGCTCCTGAGGAGTGCGATGGTGAGCCAGGCCTCTTCCATCGCAAGCACTTGAGCAGGGAAGTCTATGCATGAGAGATAGATGCACCAGCTCTTCCTGGAGGTTCGGGCTGCAAGGACATTGCCTGGGATTACCTCGTCTGAGTAGATCGCGAATCGGAGTGCTCTTCCGCCGGCTTTCTCTGCACAGCTCCGAAGCAAATCGTAGAAAGCACCACCGGCACGGCAAATCCCATCCAGCAAGCTGAAAACATTCACCAGCCAAAAAGCCACCGTGCCACCAGACACTGTCTTGGCTTCCTGCTTCTCCAAGAGAGGCCCGTAAGCTTCTTTCTTGCCCAAGTACGACCTTGTCGCTTCTCTCATCTGCTTCGGGTCTGTCATCTCTGGCATGCCATGATCATGAATATCCTGCGAGAGGCCATGCAGAGCACTCTTACTACAGTAAGGTGCTGCTCTTCTCAAAGAGTTCAACCGTTGCAGCTTCTGTGGCCGGTCGTCTGTCTTCGAAGAAGAGGAAGACATTATTGCTCAGGTAGAATCAATCGAATTTGGATGCAAGCAGACTATATGCAGAATGCATCTGCACATCTATAGATGCATGCAAAACTCAGCTACATCAACATAAAACTACAAAGTAACAAAAAAATAAACATTTTCCAACCCTGCAACTTCAAACCCCAATATAGATGTAGCTGTATACACACCTATACACACCGCCAGAATGTACATCGGAAGGAACTGTCGACGAGAAAATTCTGCGACCCGTATGGGTGCCAACTGCAAGACTTGGCTATTGAGCCTTACACAGTCCATGCATATGCATGGAGCTTCAACTCAACACCGGGTTTTGCTTCTGCCGTTTAAACACAAATGCCACAGCACAAAACCCGGGAACCGCCAAACAGAATGACGGTTGCATGTCTGTCTATAGAGCAAAACATATAACAAAGCAACCAGGCCACACGGTGGACTGGGAAGGTAGCTCCAAATGTGAAAACACACGGAGCTGTGGGCCCTAAGCGCCATTTCCGAGGCAATGTCTAAGAAGCACAAGGAAAGCAAAGCAAGGAACAATTCACATAGAACCCAGACCGAATCAGCATGGCATGCCTGCATAAGCCCTGTCATGCAGAGCTGCATGGAGCTATCTGGCCATGCAAACATGAAGCCCGGCTGGGCTGGAATGACTTTTTGTTCTGCTGCTCGCTTGCCCGCTTCGAATGAAGCAGGATGCCATGGAACACGGTTGCAGTGATTAATGCACCGGGCAGCTTTTGCTGTACGAAGCAGCTTTTGCTGCAGTGCGAAGCTATATATAGCTACCCACCCATTGAAAACACCAAGGCTAACTCGGTCACTTCTTGCTCTTGGACTTCTTGTTGCAGGCTTTGCCCTTTGCGAGGGCAAGCTGCCGTTTGGCATACCACTCCTTCCATTCCTCCCTCGTCAGGCGGAGTCCCTTGAACCCCGGATCCTGGCACTGCGAACATCCTGTTCGACAGCCACGGCAGCGAATACAACCAAGTTTTAGCGGCGGGTCTGCACTGGCTTTCCCAACCGGCTTGGCTGCACTGGCTTTGGCCGAAGGCCTCTTCATGACTGCTTTGCCCTGATCTGGAGCCCCTCGCTTCTTATTTTCTACCGGCTTGCTTTGGGCCTGCAAAGCCTTGAAAGCCTCTTGCTCGATCGCCTCGAGCTTGCTGCTGCTTGCAGGTGTTGTCACGGCGGTTTCCTTCACATGCTCTTGGGGCTGGGGCTGCTCTGGGGGATCCTTTTCCTCCACAGGCACTACCTGAGTCAGGACAGGAGGGGGAGCCACGGAGGAAGGAGTCTGCAGCATGGAGTCTCTGGTGCATTGCTGGGCTGGCACTCTAGGGGACGAGGAGGTCTGGGCGGCATGCTGGGGCGAGGCAATCAATGTTCTGCAAAGCCTGCAGACTGCTTGAAGCAGCCAGGCTGCTGGGCACAGTGCCTTTGCTTTGGATGCTTGTGTTTGGTTGCACACCTTGCATACCGGATGCTATGGGGCATGGCTCCTGCAAAGCTCCCAAGCTGCCATTCCTTGCCGGCTGCACTGCATTGAAATTGTTCATGCCCGTGCCGCCGACCGTCTGCTGCAAGAACCTGTGCATGAGGGCTTGCATATGCAAGGCATCGTCACCAGCAGCATCCTTGCCCTTCTTCTTGTTCTTCTTCTCTTGATTCCACGACAACAAACTGGACGTGCTTCGCACCGGTGTCTCATTCACCACCCGGGCTACAAGACCTGGGAGGTCTCTCGGCTCCGGTGGGTCCTCTGGATCATAAGCATCCTTCATGAAGCCCGGTCCGAGCTCTGATGGGTGCAAAGGATAGACTGTCACTCCTGCTGCTTTTCGTGGAACTTGCACACTGAGGAAGACTTTGTGCAATTGCTCTGCGAGACTGTAGATGTCGTCGTACGATGGAGCAATGCCGAGTCTTTCTATCTGACAAGTGACGATGATGCCGGTTGCATACTGTTTCGTCTCTTCTTTGAGACTCGTGAGCCCGAGCCTCCGGAGCCTCTCGCTGACGACCACTGTAGCATCCCAGCTGCTCGAAGTAGACAACTTCGCCCAACCTGACTTGGAGAGGTAGTTGCAGAGTTGCACGAGGGTCTGGGGTTTGCTAGTGAGTCGTACCTGGGACTGACCAGCGATTGTGGGGCCTGCAGCATCATCCAAGGCTTTGAGCAAGCCATCTTTGCTGTTGCCGGACAAGCTAGATTCGCCCACTGCTTCCATCATTTTGCACAGCTGATCCGCCGTCCATCCCGGGTGATGGGCCATGCGATCTTGCAGTGCCTGCACGAGCTTAGGCTCCATGTCGGTGCCGGGCCTCATGCCCACCAGCCTCTGGATGGAGTTCATCTCCTGCACGAAGTCATCGGCGGTCCACCGAGCCATGGTCTCTGACTGGTCTCTGGACCCGGCAGAGCACCACAAGTGAAACAGAAGTCGCCTAAAGCAACAATGGCGACAAGTGTTCATGCTAGGAAGCCACAGAAAGTCGTGCATGGTTGTCAGGAAGCAGGATCACTGCTGCATGTAAACAACGAAAAGCTTTATCTGCAACTGCAAACAAAACTACATAGAAGCACAAAGCTGCATGGTTTTTCAAGAAGCAGGATCACTGCTGCATGGTTTTCAAGAAGCAGGAACACTGCTGCATGGACCAGACAATAACTTGCGTGTGCACAGCAACAAGAGAGAAGCACACATGATTAGTGCTGCATCACCAAAAACAGAACCGGCACACCAGGCACCTTTAAAAAACCTGGCCTTGTCCCATGGAGGGGTGTGGGGAGGGCGGGGGGGGGGGACAGCTGGGTGGAGGGCGACGGGGGGAGAGGTCCGGCGATTGGGGTTTGGGTTGGTGGTGTGGGGTCGACCTTGGTGCTTGTGCTTTTGTCCGACTGAGTATGGGGGTGCCAAGCATATCATGCTTCACAACCAAAGCACAAGCAGAACTTGTGCTGCATGGGAAAAGCACATCATGCATCACAACCAAAGCACAAGCAAAACTTGTGCTGCATGGGAAAAGCACATCAAAGAGTGCTGCATGCATTGTTCCAGGACAAGGGGAAAGGCTTCTTGTGGGAGGTCGGGCAAGAACTGAAACTATGCTGTTGGGTGGAGGAGAATGCAGCTTCAAAGGTGCAATGGCTGATCCCGTGAAGGCTTTCTAAAGGGCTTGGCAAGGGCTGCTTCCAAACAATGTTTACGATACCACCGAAACACACAAGTTGCTCATGAACAACTTTGTTTCCAAACCCCTGAAACCAAGATGCTTATGAACAACTGTGATCCCATAAGTCTGATTCAGAGATGCTCCAGAGCAACTGTCCGGGATAGGGTTTATATAAATTATAAGGGTGGGATCCCCAAGATGTCTATGAGCAACTCTGAAATTAAAGTCTATTCCCAAAGATGCTCATGAGCAACTTGTTGCACCCCTCGCAAAGCTGTCTTTTTTGCTCTGGCCGCCTAATAATCATACTGAGGGTCAGCACCAAACTGGTCCACATACCGCATGTGCTCCTCCAGGCGGCTCCGGAACGTCGGGCCCCCTCTGAATGCACTCGTGAGGTGGTCCATGCGGCCGAAGTCCTTCGAGAGCCAAGCCGCCGTCATGGCAATGGCTCTCGCCTGCCAGCCGCTCTGAAGCTTTGTGCTCCGTCTCGAGTCCATCCAGGGCCTTGGCAGGGCACTGCTCGAGGATGTCGCCGCCTGACCCTGCTCCCTCATAGCTGGTGCTGGAGGAGGTCTGTTAACCCCCAGCTTCCTGAACTCGTCCTCGGCAGCCACGGCCTCTGCCTTTCTCTTTTTTTTGGCGGTGGGCCCTTCCACAGCGGTGCTTGCATCGCCTCCACAGGCTCTAAGACAGGAGCCGCCGTCGCCGCCGCCCGGGCGGTCGAAAAAACCTCTGTCTTCCCTCCTGCATCCTCCTGCTTCATCTCGCGGCCAGGCCCCTGAGTGTCTGGACCGCCCACAAAGCCAGGACCCATTTGCACAGCAATCGGAATAACACCAGCTGGTGTGCCCAGCTGCACCTGCTGTGCCCATTGCCTGCAAGCCAGCTGCACCTGCTGTGCCCATTGTCTGCAAGCCAGCACCTGCTGTGGCCATCGTCTGCAAGCCAGCACCTGCTGTGGTCATAGGAGCACCAGTCGGCACAGCCCAAGGGAAGCCATAGCCAGCAAACTCAGGCATGCCAGGCACCAACGGTGCACATACCGGTGCCACCGGTGCCACCGGTGCCGCCGCCATCCCAGGTGCAGGTGGAAACGGCGCTTTTGAAGCCGTTGCCATTGCTGCCTCAGACTTAAGGGTTCGTGCAGGGTCGGTTTCTGTTGTGCTTTACTACATAACAGAAAAGCTTTCAACTTCTGCTACACCAAACAAGAGTCTGCGCCCACTCCTGCCCACACAGGATCCTCCACACCCAGGGGAGCATTGTCAGTCTCCGCCGCCTGCTCCTGCTTGGGCTGCTCTGATCCTGCAGGGCTCCATGCAGCAAAGGCTGCTCTTCAAGTAATGCACAAAAGCCCTGCCACAAAGCAGGACTGCATGAAACGAATCCAAAGCCCCAGCAACCTCGAACCCCATGTAAGCCCAGTCCTCCTTGCATTGCCTTGTCATCAAACTCGTGAGGGTACGTGGCAGCAGCCCTTTCCCACCACTCTTGGTCCTGCTCGGACAAGGTAGCAAACCAGGATCGCCACTCGGCCTTGCTCCATCCTCGCACCTGCTCGCGGACCCATGCGAGCTCGCCGTCCGTCAAGTCAAGCGGCTCGTAGTACTTGACCTCCACATCCTCTTCCTCCTCCTCCTCTTCCTTCTTTGTCGACGGCTCAGTTGCCATGATCGCGAGGCACGAGTGGCTCCAAACCTATTTAAATGGTTTGGAGCTTGTAGTTTGACATGGAGATTGCACATGCATGGTCAGAGCTTGGCATGACCAGAGGTTCTTCTATCTCACACACAACATGGATTGCATCTCTGGGAACCTACTATTATGCAGGCTGCAGGAGCTCAACCACAACATTTGAAAGTGTTTCCCACAATCGTCTGGTGTTTCCCACATGCATGGAATGGTTCATGCATCTTCTGCTGCATGCTTCTACTGCTGACCTGCCTTGGGGCGGCACGGGTGCACAGAATCATTGACATGCTCCTCATTGCACAATTCAAGTGTCTCTTGCTCGCAAACCGACATGCATCATGAAGCCCTGTCAAGCAGGACTGCATGCAAGATCACATGCAAGGTCTGAGGGAACATGAAAAGCCCTTCGAGAGGACTGCATGCAGAAACACAAAGCAATACATCATCAAGCACCATCCATTCTAGCACATGTACCCTGCTCACGAACCCTACAAGGAAACTGACTTTGTTTCCTTTTCTATGGTATACCAGCGAGACACACCTCCAGCTCAATGAGAATCCTCCTCCTTCTCTTCAGAGGAACATTGCCGTCCAGCTCTACGTCTCCGGTAAACCCGCCTCTCGTCGGGATCCGCATCCTGCAAAGAAGCTTGGCAGTTACCTAGCACCAAAAATAACAGACACATTCATGCAGCTATTACATTGCTAAGAGTCCTCAGTGATCTTGGCGAAAACCATTTCCAAGCTCTCTGACTCCAACAGGATCAACAAATCCATGGTGGACTTGTGCTTGGCTTGAACCCCGATCTGAATGCCGTCCACCATCACATATTCAACATTCGGCTGCACTTTCTGTTTTTTCTTCTTCGATTCCGGAAAGAGTTCATCCGCCCCCGATCCCTTGCCCTCGCTTTTCAAGAAGTTCTGGATTTCCTCCTCCCTGCCCTCTTTCAGTTTTTGCAAACCTGGAGAAGCAGTCAGACTTGCTTGCCTAGAACCCAGGAGTAACTTCATCAGCACCCTGTTCGAGGGCTGGATCTTCAGGTACTTGACACCGGAAATCTCGACGATCAAATCGTTGGGCACCACGACCTCACGAGCTTGCCATGTAATCGTCGTGCAAGTGCCGATGCTCACCATGGTGCTTCCAGCGGCAACAAAAGCGCTCAGCTCAAAAGAACAGCTTGAACCCAACAACTGAGTTGTGGTAGATCAAAGCAACAAGTCAGCAAAACACGAGAAATGCAAAAGCTCGGAGGAGCTGCATGACCGAACATGCTTGCTTCAAGCATGCATTCTGCATCACAACTACAACCAACACGAAGCAACAGGCTGGCTGTTGCTGCATGATGCACAAACACATGTTTCCTACAGATAACAACCAAAACGAAGCAACAGGCTGGCTGTTGCTGCATGATGCACCAACACATCTATTCTGCAGAGACAACCAACCCTTCACAGCAGCTGCCGGCAAAAACCCTGGTGGCATGCCAGGTGTATCAAAATCCTGCAGCCGACGTGGCATGGTGCTAGATCGATCAGGTAGCCTTCCTCTTCAAGGAACCCTTCTCCTTCTCCTGCTTCTGCAGCAGCTCCTTCGAGGCTTGCATGAGCATCGTGTGCTTGGCCACCTTCTTGTTGTTGACGAGCATGGGCAATTTCATGCCGGCGACGGTTTTCCACTGCACAACCATGTTGACCTCTTCCTCCGAGGACGTGGTCTTGATCCAGTAGAAGGGCACGATGGTATCAGTCTTCTTCGGCCTTATAAGACATGCATAGCTTTATGATTTAGGCGAAAGCCTCTAAATCCTATTTTTCTTTGCAGTCGGGCTGCTCCCCGAAATCCTTCAACTGCGGAAAAGGAGACAACTGGTACTTGTTGCCATTCCATTCGACCCATAGACTGAGCTTCTGCCCTTCTTTGGCTCTCGTCATGTTCGCCAGAGGAATGAGGCGAAGCTTCTCCTTCGCAAAGCTCTCCGAGGTGTACACCGCCGTAGGGTGGATGAAATGCAAGCATGAAGAATCGCCGGTGTTCTGGTCTGCGAAGATCTGGAAAAGCTGCTGCTGCCCATCCGCCAAGATCTTCGCATCGTTCAAGACAGCACTGCCACCGTAGGTGAACTTAACGGATTCGTCCGCAGCCAACACACTCGGCACTGGGAGGCGAGTGACCTTCCACTTCTTGAAGTGCTCTGGCGATGTCATAACGATGTCGGGCGAGGCAAACAAGGGGGTGTGCACGAACTTGGCCTCGTCATTCTCGAGCCCAGCGAAAACAAAGATCTTGTCTGGGTAGTCCGCATGCACGTACTTCCCATCCTTCTTCAAGTGCGGGTTCTGCAGCAAAGCTTGCTCCCCTACACTCATGCCACCCAAGAGATTCAGGGGCCGGTCCTCCTCCCGATTCTCATCCGCTTCGCTCCCGCCAGCAGAGCTAGCACCCGATGGGTTCGTGTTCAAAGCTTCGGTAGCGAAGAGCTGGGCCACCTTCTCCTGAGACTCATACATAACCTTC